TTGTATTGGCCCTCCTCGGCATCTTTCCCACAGGTCTCAGGCGCTACTGGAATGGATGGTATGAGCACACACAGTCCACCTGCTCCGCCAACTTGAGGGTGGTGGACAAAGCTAGGTAAGTACAGTGGGGGCAGCCTGGCTGTGCTCAAGTGGAACCAACAGTAACAAGGGAAGTGACCTGACCTGCTGACTCTCCCCAGCTGCTTTATGATGAAGGGCAGCTGGGCCTGGGAGGAAGAAGTCTGTGGTGCCCTTTCATTGGCCAGTGACTGACTCCCACCTTATTGGCTCTCTCTTATGGGCTGCTGCTGAAGAGACCTGGAGGGCACTAAGGAAAACTTCCTGTCATCCTGGGTGTTGGTGCAGCTTCCCTCTGTCCCTGCTGTCCTGCAGAATGGTAGGTGGTGCAGATGACATCTTGTTTTAACTTCATTCCCAGAGCTTTTGACTTCAAAGAAGTCATCTGGCCTCTCCAGATGTGGCTAAACTGGAGAGTGGGGCTGACTCTCTTTATAATCTTGGTTCTGTCCTACACCCTAAGTTCCTTCAGAAACATGAGCATGTTATGGAAATACTTCTGTTGTCACTATACCCAGCGTGCAGGAGGAGTCCACTGGCTGCCATTGTTAGGGTATGCAGGGCCGGTGCAAAGTGTTCAGACATGAGGTCAGTATGGTTTTCACTCTCTAGCTTCCTGCAACCATCATGGTCATCTCCAAGGTTCATGGAAAAACTTCAGTGTGCCAGGAACTTTCTGTCATAATCACCATCTCTTTCCTCCTTACAAGAATCCTGAGTTAAGTGCTATTATTATCTAACGTGAAATGTATATACATATAAAAAGTATAAACAATATAATTTCAGGAATAACTATAGTCATAACACAAATATGAAATAGATACAAAAACTTTTGAAGAAAAAAAAATTGCAAACCCAGCCTTCGTAACCCAATTGCCTGCCCGTTCCACCCTTGGTGGTTTCCGCTTAACAGAATTTTACACTACTAAGTACATTTTATTTACCTGGATTTTATTTTTTCCATCAATATATGTTCCCATGAGAGGTATATTTACTTTTCTTCATTTTTGAATTATAGTGTATAATTCTGTGACTTGGTTCTTTCATTTACCCTGTTTTTGAGATTTATCAAGGTTAATTTGTTTTAGCCACAGTTCATTTATATTTACAGCCTCACAGTATTTAAATGTTTGAATAGAACACGATCTAATTATCCATTCTATCAGCGATAGGTAGTTGGTTTTTTTCTCAATTGTTGCCAGTATAAATGACGCTGTTTTGAACATTCTTGTCCATATCTTCTAGTTCATGAGACTCTTAAAATAGGTAATTAGTGGAATTGCTGGATCATAAAAGTGTAGATCACTCCCTTTGCTAATTTGCAAGTGGTTTCACCAAATTACATTAGTGTCAATGACTATTCTCATGTCTGCACATCACTACCTGCCCTGATATTGTCAGATTTTAAAAATACTCACCAAAACTACTGGTTGGAAAATGTATTTTATTGTTGCTTTCATTTACACTACTGTTAATAGTGTTGGGCATTTTTTCCCATGTTTGTGGGCCATTTGCTGCCTCTTCAATTTTTGTTTATATTCCCACTGGCTATTTCTCTGTTTTTATCTGCATGCAACTGTGCTTTATGGGTTTTAAAACAGTAACTTGTGTTGGTAATGTATGATGTGTGTGTCTTCTAGTTTGTAGTTTGTACTTTTCTTTCTTCTTACAGAGGTCATTCATTGAACAGTTTTTATTTTTAAATGAAATGAATTGATCAAATTTTATGTTTTATAAATTTGGAGTTTTGTTTTTAAAAAGTCATTTCCACTAAGTCATAAAGATACCGTACGTTGTCTTTTAAAACGTGATAGAAGTTTGCTTTTCACACAGAAGTATATATTAAGCCCCTTGTAATTGTTTTCTCTAAGATAGGGAAAAAGGATCTATTTTTGAAATATATGTCAAAATGGTTCTAGCTCTATTTAATGAATAGTTCATCTATCTCACTACCCAGCAATCTGTTATGACTTCATATTTGCTTACATTTGTTTTCAAGCTCTGTGTCTTTTGTTCTGTTGGTTGGTTCACTTTGTTCATCCATGTGCGAATGATCTCAATTACTAGGGCTTTTTAATTAAATCATTACAAAGTGATGGGATGGGGATGCTGACAGAATCCAATTCTGTCAGCATACCATCCCTTACCATTCCCAAATCTGTTGAGCTCAGGTGAATCTTTTTTTATACAGAGTAATTGTTCTCTCTGTTTTTCACATACATTTTAGAATTATATGTTCACATGAGAAATTCTGTTGGGATGTTATTGCCATTTTACTGAATATACAGATCTATTTGGGAGGATTATTAAGATCTTTATAAAAATAATCATTTATATATAAGAATTTACTGTTCTTCATTTTTTTTTTTTCAGTTTCTGGCCGGGGCTGGGTTTGAACTCGCCACCTCTGGCATATGGGGCTGGCACCCCACTCCTTTGAGCCACAGGTGCTGCCCCTACTGTTCTTCATTTTTTAAAAACACCTTTGATATGGGTATCAATAAAATTTTGTATTATATCCAATTTAGAGGCTTGTAATCCTCTATTAGAATCACTCCTAATTTATTATGTTTGTCACCGCACATGGCATCTTTTATAATTTCAAATTCTAAGTCCTGGCTCGGCGCCTATAGCTCAACCGGCTAAGGCGCCAGCCACATACACCTAAGGTGGCGGGTTCGAATCCCCAGCCC